TTTTTTTTTTTTGAGAAATCAAAGCTCCCCCTGTATTCACGCTTTTTGAAAGATGGAGGCGAACGACAGACATGCCAACAGTAACTATCTATTGGCAAGGTAGACACTGCCTCCCTCCTACCATTGACGAGTCGGAGGACGAGGGGAGCGGGGAGGAGGCAGCGGGAGAGAGAGGAAGAGGGGAAGGTGATGGGTCTTTCGCCTCCCAGCGGCACAGGTACCAGTGCTGTAAAAGTCTTAGTCTAAAGCTAAAACTGAAGAAAACTCTCTTCCGCAGCTCCCGTCCCCTCCCCAGAAGGCCGTCCTGGATTCGCCTATTCCTACGATGAATGCTTGAAAACAAGCTAATAACAAGTTCGTTGCCCCAGAATGAGCCAAAATCCATTGAATTGCTGAAACGAATGAACGAATCGTAGGGGGGACTGACCGACTGTCCCATTAGCAGCGAACTTGAACCCTCAACATTACAGCATTGGTACTCATTACTGCATCAGAATATTCGTAAATTGCCATTAATGAACCGAGTAATAAAGACCTTTTTGGCGGTGTCTGCTGCTGCAGCAGCGGCTAAAGCGGAGGCCGATGAATGCAACTCGTTTCGGCGGCAATTTTCCCTCCTTTTCAATGCGCAATTTAATTGAGTAGCTGTAAAAAGGGTGAATTAAAACAACGAAATTGTTAAATTTGATGGATTTTTTTTAAAAATTTGAAAAAATTTAAGAATACTACGGGACAATACAATTGCGACAATCGATTCTTAATTTTTTTTTTAAAATTTGAAAAAATTTGAGAATACTATGGGACGATACGATTGCGACAATCGATTTTTAATTTTTTTAAAAAAATTTGAAAAAATTCAATAATACTATGGGACGATACGATTGCGATAATCGATTTTTCGCAAAAAAAATGCCCTTTCAAAGCATCACGCGATGTAACAGTTACCAAAACAGGTACACAGTTCGAAGGACCAGACTGTGAATTAACACATGTTTATCCTATT